AAGAAGAGCAGATCCAACTTAACACCAATAAACAGACAGTCTAAAAGTTGCTGCCACGCATCAACTTTCATCTAAAAGGGGGAGCTGTTATATGCATTGTACCAACCGATGTTCCTTATCACGACGATTCCCAGGGTATCAGGTTCCACTTCCAACAACCTGAGCCGATAAGGATCCTTGCAAATGCAGTACCAGCAGAGTCAGCGGGACCCAAGCTTTTTACACGTTCCCACTGAGTCAGCATTTACTAATATTATAAAACCGCTTGTCGCTCTTAATTCAGTATTCAGTATATTTTTGTAGTTCATTCATTATATTTTATATTTCATTCATTTTTACCACGTAACTTGTATTTTGTAATAAATAAATTTTTTAAAAAAGTCAAAAAAGTGTTTCGTGATATAAAATATATAATTGAAATTCTTTATTAATGTGCACTTCTGATTAGTTTTAAATTATTAGAATTTTTATCAATATATTTGTAATTTACATCCCTTTTACAGAACTGTATTCATAATTTATTATAAAGATTATTTTATATAAAGTATTTTGTTTTAAAACAAAAAAAAACAAAAGCTGTAGATTTTATGCCACATAAACTTGTTGCAACATATGGTTGGAAACACTTTATATTAATTTATAATACTAACTAAAAGCTGTTCAGAATGAGTAAATGTTTTTTACTTCATATTTTGTCAAAGTAGGTGGTAGTTAAGCATGATACCAAAGAATATAGATGCATAATGCATCTATCAAATAATATAGATGCATAATGCATCTATATTATTTGATGATACTACCATGATGACTATTCTCACATTGTATAGATATTTGAAAAATTACTATTTATGATTTTAATTAATGCTTTTTACCATTAGGGCTTTTACAACAAATATTTAAGATAGGTCTTTTGTTTCAGTAATAAATTAATTACATGGTTTAAAAGCTTATTGTTTTGTGCTTTAATAAGAGCAAGATCAGAGGTATCATAGGGATGTCACAGTGCACCACTGACACTTTTGCCATTTGTCAATGGTATAACTGAATACCATCTAATACCAGAATATTTACTCTAAGTGTGTAATGTACACATACTCTAAGTGTGTATGTTCAAAATTGTATAAAGTAAATGCATGTGAGATTGATGCCATTAATGTGATCTTTAAACTGATTTAAATGCCTTGTGAACATGGACACAAGTTAATAAACTATTTCTAAATGAAAACAAAGTTTTTACAGTGCTTTTTCATTAGTTTCTGTTATTGCAGCCACAGGTAATACAAAATGTAATATAGACATTGCTAAAGATTTACATGTTCAGTTTTGGTGAAAGACTCAGTTGTTCATAGCATATTTTTGAAGTATGTTTGTGGAGAATTTTTGAAGTATCTAGTTTTGAAGTATTTGAGAAGTATCTTTGTTAAAAGAAATTGTGTTGAGTCCTCAATAAATATGTATATCTGAAACTATATATTACCCTTGTCAGATGTCTTCTTAAGTATATTTAAATTATTTGGTCTCCCTTCTATCAGACTTCAGACTGAAAAGGATGATAGGATTTAACCTTAGAAGAAAATCTGTTCATCAATATATTAGTAAATTAGTAGCCAAAAAATTTGATCACAGAATGGTGAAACTAATGTTATAATAATATAGGGCTTACATTATAAAGGTTGAGGTGAACCTTTGCTTGATCAAATTATAGTAGGATTATCCAGAAATACTGAGATTAAAACCATGTATTAGTGTATTACAAACATTGAGAATCTCATATATCAATATTATAGATTGATTAACCTGTTACAGATTGCCCAAATTCACTTTAGGCATAATATGCACAAGTCAAGAAGAGAGAGCATGCCAAAAAAGAACAGAAAAGTTTGTCTCACTGCTGAGAGAAAAGACTGTCCCCCTACCCTGCCACCATCAAAACCTATTGCTCATCTCAAGGTCAATGACAAAGTAGATTTTGGCAGGTTGGCCTTATTTTATGACCTATAGTTATTGTGTTCATTGTTTAACATAATCTTAATCATTTCTCTTCTACTTTTAGATGCCAAGAGTAGCATGTCCATTGTTTAAACTGAAGCTAATCCAGGAAAACACTATTTTCCTTCTATTCCATGTTTGTGTAAAATTCAATATTTTCGTCTTCATGTCTTCTAATGAAACGAAATATCTCACCACAACCATAAACATCTTTACGTTTCCATGGTTAGATGCTTCGATAATTAGACTGACGTATATTGCATTGTTCATTGCATCAACCAATTGATTTTCGATGTATGGACCAAAGAAATTTTTAACAATTGCCTCACATTTAGTACCTGTTGACGGAAATTTGCTCAATTAAAAGCAATTCCGAAATATTTTCGATGAGCAATCAGCTGAGCGAAAGTTTTCATTTTCCTTAATCATATAATACGCCCAAACACTTTCCTGAGCTGCTCTCTAAATCAATATTGCTCGATGTTGCTGTCACCTTGAAAAATTCAGGTAAATGCTTTGCTGCTTGCCGCGGAGCTAATACCTCTTTGGTGTTTTTCACTTTTGATGTGACTCACTACATCCGCTCTACCACTGTGGGCGATCGAAAAATCGGATCCACAGGTATCACATTTTACGTCACTGTTACTTTTTTTTTAAATGGGAATCCTTGCAATATTTTATTAAACGTGCAATAGCTTTTTCTCTTTTTACTTTCTTGTTCTTATGCCATATTAAAAATATAATGGAATGAAAAGTGTAAAGTCAACTAAACAATGCTTCAGACCTTCTTAGATGATCACTAATCTATTTGAAGCTTTAAATTGATTAGTGACATAAAATAAATTTTTACATATAATCATATTGCAAATTAGCAGGTTTGATCTTGGTTCAAAGCATGTAACGGTTTGGAAAAGAATCATTTATTCTTCAAGAATATAGCGCACATGAAATCGAGAACTTTGTTTACCTACTTAGAATGGTTGACAAAAAACCGAAAAAGAAAAACATTTGTCAGCAAACATTACATTGAATGCGACACAGCTCGGTCGGCATGGTGTATTTAATATGAATTGATATCGTTTTTGAATAATCTTTTCGGAAGAGGATAATTAAAATACAGAAACGAAGAAAGTGCACAGTTGGCACCAAGTAACCATCACAAATTAGAAATACTAATAATGTAAAACAACTTCAAATTTATAACATTTAAAGGGTTTTTACCTATATATTTTGGTGGCTACTAGCATGTACAACCGTTTGCACTGATGATGGATTGTTTAATCCGAAAACGTTTTGCAATGTGTTTGTGATAGCCCGTTTGAGGCATTTTTATATACCTTTTATAAAGGATTTTAACAAAATTTTTTGTGATATATGGTATACAGCCAGCTACAGGAACTTAGTTTCCTCGTGGAATTTTATATATTTAACTTATATATTTTAACTATAACTATAAACTATAACTATAAACTTTTAACTACTAATTAAATTACATAATTTTGTGGTATTTACCACAGGTGCCTACAGACTATCGTAAACAACCAAAGTTGAAGAAAACGCACGTGTTTTTGACAGTAAAGCAACCAGGTTCGGGCATGTGTATACAGAAACGGTACACGGATTTCGGGGCTCGTGTCACTTCTCTGTGTTCGTAGTTCTCTGGTACAACTTCGAACTTTATATGATATACCACGAACCTGATATTGTAAAACATATTAAGATAGGAAGTCTGAGGTGGATAGGGCATGTAATGCGGATGCAACAAAATGACCCAACTAGAAAAACGATCCTTAATTAATTGATTGATTGATTGAAGATTGATGAGTATCAGAAATACCAACATATTTATACTGATGCCTCCAAATCAGGAAAATGAGTGGGATGTGCCTTTATACACAACGACTACACTGCTTCATACAAAATCTCAAATTTTAGCACAGTATATACAGGAGAACTATTCGCAATCTACAAAGCATTAGAATATGCACTGAACGCCAACTTAGACAGGTGCCTAATAATAACAGATTCCTTAAGTTCCATGAGTAGCTTAGGCACCATTTACCCAACTCATCCATTGTTGCGATTGATAAAGAAGCATTTGTACCAACTTCAGCTAAAGAATGTGATTGTAAAATTTATGTGAATTCCGTCACATTTAGGTATACAAGGTAATGAAAGAGTAGATGCTGCCGCCAAATCTTTAGTTAACAATGAAGACTTGATAGAACCTACCTATAAGAAAGATTTTCATCACTGGATTAACTCAACATTGAAACAACGGTGGCTTCAAGAATGGAATCAATCTCAACAAAAACTACGAGACATAAAAACAAGTGTTACAAGATGGAAGAATATGTGTAGCAACAGGAAAGACCAAATTATAATAAGCAGACAGATTAGGACATACACGCTTAACACATGAATACCACATTACTGGAAGTGTTCATCCAATGTGCGGTAAGTGTTTCAACAGTTTAAGTGTCAAACATTGATTAGTCAAATGCCCTTCTAGAAAACTGTGTCTATTCGTGTGTTTTAAGTTTTCTAAAATCAATAGGAATATACAACCAAATTTAAACATCAGTGCGTGTACAAATAAATGTGTAATGTACTTCAACTCAGATTTATGTATGTAAAACTCTATGTATGTCTGTGTTTAATCTATGTCTAAAATAATGTAAAAAAAATGTAATACCAAGCGGCGCAAATAACCACTTATTAGGTTGATGCGCCTTAATTGTAAATAAATAAAAAAAAGTATGATAAGAAATCTCCTTTCTGTTGCTGGTATATAGTAACGCTCTGCATAACATCCAATACCGTGTTAAGTCTTAAGGCATAGTAATTTCAAATAAGAGCACAATTTTTGGTAATAATAATTTAGTTTCATTGGTAAAAAATTTATATACTCATAATGTAATTTAATGTAAAATCAAAGAGTATACCCTGTATAATTTGAAGTTTGTTGTTTATATAGTTTTTACTTTTATTTACAATAAGTTATCTTTTAGAATTAACGGAGAGTACCATAAAAATCGATCCAGATTCGGAAAACGGTTCTGGATCAGACAAAAGTGATCCAATGGAAATAGTAAGTATAGGAGATGCTGAATCTTCTTCCAGCAATAAGTCTGATGATGATTTCGATAACAATTTACCAAAAACTGTTACCCTTTTGAAACACGAAAAGACTGGAGCTAAAGTTTATCTTATTGGTACAGCACATTTTAGTAAAGAATCACAGGAAGATGTAGCAAAAGTAAGTAATACTTTTATTCAGTCGTTACATATATAAAATTTATGGTTGGTTAGATTGTTATCTTTTTTGTGGTTATAAAATTTATACGAGGGTTATCAAATAATTTTAACTTTTTGTTTTAGGTTATAACAAATGTTCTTCCACATATAGTTGTATTAGAATTATGTAGTTCGAGGACAAATATTTTATCTCAAGATGAGGAAACAATTTTGGAAGAGGCCAAAAATATTGATATGCAAAAAATTATATCTACAATTAGGACCAATGGGGCGTACAACGGTTTGATGTATTTACTATTATTAAATTTGAGTGCGAATCTTACAAAGGAAATCGGAATGGCTCCCGGTGGCGAATTCAGAGTTGCTTATAAGGAGGTAAGATATCGATATAAACTAGTCATTTTCAACCTTTTTGTTTTCCTGTTTCTTGAATATCAAAATAATTTGGTGACATACTAATTAACAACGATGATAAAAATCAAATGGACCAGTAGATAGAGTCGATAGAGCGACCAACACAGAAGTTTTAAGGAAAATGAATATCCAGCCATAATTATTATTCGGAAATTTTTAGTTGAGAAAAACAGCTTAGAGATAGCATACCATAAACCACATTTAGTATAACACTTTTTTATTTCTTTGGATGTGTTGTTTTTGCAGTTCATCAGTACCCCTAAGTAGCAGTATTCTTCTACCGTTTCTATAATTTCATGTTGCATCTCTAAGTTATTTTGTTGCATTCTTGATATAGCCAGGTTTGGACGAACACCAACAGAGTATTTTGATGACACTTATTAAAAATCTGTACCAGTCCAATATAGCAACAGTACGACTAGATCAAGAGTTCTCAAACTAATTCAAGACTGAGAGAGGTGTTAGACAAGGATGTGTGTGGTCACCTTACTTATTCAAAATTTATGGTGAACATGTCATGAGGATAGCTTCAGATGGATGAGCCGGTGGAGTAACAGTAGCTGGTAGGAAAATCTCCAATTCAATATTTGCTGATGACCCTACACTTATAGCAGCAAATGGGCAAGAAATGTTTGTTTAATCTCCTGCGAAGAGTTGAGTATGAAAGCAATAAAGTTGGTCTGAAAATCAATAAAGCTAAGACAAAAATTATTATGGTCAACAGATTCCACACTATTCAACTGACTAACATGTTACAGGAATACCAAATAGTGGACAGTTTTGTCTATCTTGGGTCTAATATGACTAACAATGGTAACTGTGAAGCAGAAGTTCGGAGACATATTGGTATGGCAAAAAAGGCGATGATTTGCTTAACTAAAGTTTGGAAAGACAGATCTATCTCCCAAAATATCAAGATGAGACTTACTTTACTTTTTCGTGTCTGTCTCAGGTGCTCCACGTTCTGTATTTCCCCACATTCACAAAGTGCGTCGCTATCTGTCTTGATGCCCCATTTAATGAGGTTCTGTTTTACAGGGGCAACACCTGTGCGTATGCGGTTGAGTGTCCGCCAGGTTCTCCAGTCCCGGTTTCTGGTTCTCCAACCGGTAATTATTCTACATGTTTCATTTAACGCCGTGGTGACTTGTTGGGCGTGTCTAGATCTACCCTAGACGGGACAAGCATATTCCCCTGTTGAGAAACGTAAACCAGTATACAGCCAGTGTTGACATATGGATCGGAGACATGGACCATCTCCAAGGCAGACGAAGACCTTTTGCTTATATTTAAACGAAGGATCCTGAGAGGAATATTTGGTGGCATCTGTGAAAATCGTGTTTGGAGGAGGAGATACAACTACGAAGTATACCACAGATATAAACAAATATTTGGTGGTAAAGACGTAGTATTTCTTATAAGAATAGGAAGGCTAAGGGCAGGACATCTAGCAAGATCACAGCAGAACAACCCTCCTAGAAGAATCCTTATGTCAACCCGTGGGAAGTAGAAAAAGGGGTAGGCCAAAACTCAGATGGAAGGATGGTGTAGATGAGGATGGTAGAAAGATAGGCGCAGCAAACTGGCAACGGTTGGCAATGGATAGGACTGCCTGGCGTAATAGACTTGGGAAGTTTCGACGAGTTTCTGGAGAAGGTTGTTTCTTATAGAAACCTTTTATCTTGTGCTCGGAATTTATGCGTTAGTGACCGGTCTAGTATCACTCCAAGATATTTGGGCCTATCAGTATGTTTCAAGCGTTGCCCCTCCCAATAAACATTCAGTTTTACATGCGCCAGTTGGTTGTTGAGATGGAATGCACATACTTGGGGGTTTTAGTAGGGTTTGACTTTAATGAGTTTTGTTTGTAGTAAGTTTACATCATGTTTAAAGCCTCTTCCATTGTCGACTCTACTTGTGTGAGTGTTTTCCCCTTTACGGCTATGCCAAGGTCGTCAGCGTAGACAAAACTCTCAGTCTGAGGGTGCATTGGTTGGTCGTTGGTGTTGTCAGAACGCTTCCTTGAGGTAGGCCATTTTTTGGGTTCTACATCTGCTCTTCTTTCCATTTAGCACAACGTAGAAGCGTTTATTACACAACAGTGATCTAATGATATTTACCAGGTCATAGTCAAGCACAGTGTTATAGATCTTAGTTAGCAAGGTTCTGTGGTTTATCGTATCATAGGCCGCTGTGAGGTCTATCAAGGCTACTCCCACTATCCCTTTCTGCTCAAATCCCTCCTCTATGTATTCTGTTAGGTTCAGCACTTGGCCTGTGCATGATTTACCTGGTCTGAAGCCTGCTTGTTGTGGGATTAGTTTTGTATCTAATGTTTCCTGGATGCGGTTCAAAATGAGGCGTTCATACAATTTATACAAATGGCATAGCAGAGATATCGGATGGTAGCTACTCGGTAGTACAGGGTCTTTCCCAAGTTTCAGAAGGGCTACTACTTTTGATTACGCCACACTTTTGGAATCTGGTAGGTAGAGCGACAGATGTTAAATCGATCGAGCACCCATTGTCTCGCTTTTTGCCCGAGGTGTTTTATCTGCTCTGTTACGATTTCGTTTACGTCAGGTGATTTTCCATTTTTCTTACAGTCAATATCATTTTTGAGCTCTTCGATGGTAAATGGGTTTCGCAAGAGAGTTGTTTCCTGGTCTTGAGTTCTTATAATCTTTGGCGTTTTGCAACGATTGTTTGTTTTGCCATTCAGAAGCAGTTAATGCGCTATCTGATTTGGCGTTATTGCACATAGCTCTTTCATCTCTGTGGGATCACCATTAAGTTTTTTGATCATATTCCAAGCCTGCTTGCTACTGTGTGTCATATCCATTTTACTTAAAGTCTCGCTCCAACGTTGGTCATATTCCAATCCTGCTTACTACTGTGCGTCATATCCATTTTACTTAAAGTCTTGCTCCAACGTTGTTGTCTGGAGGCACTTAGTATTTGCTGCAGTCTCTCCCCTATCTCTGCCGTAACTTCGCTAAATAGTTCTTTACTATATTCTTCGGTGTACTTTGTCATAATGTCTTTTGCTTCATCGTTCAGAACAGATATGTAATGTTGTTGACATCCTCTGGGTATGTGTTTATATGAGATTCGTTTTACAAGTTTGATGAACGCATCACAGTTTTTGGGGATCGGGACTATATTTTTTACTTGTGTTTCCAATTCATCCGTAATTTTTTCCCAGTTCGCTTTTTTGAAATTAAACCTTCGTTTGAAAGGGATTTTGGGAGTTTTTATAGCGCTGTATACGGTTATTCCCACGGGCCTATGTTGCGTCTTCGGTTTAGGCTTTTATACCTTCCTAACGCAACGGTCCTCTAAAGACATGCTGATGAAGGTGAGATTAGGGTTGTAACCTTTCTTCCATATTTTGCTTTGGAACGAATAGGTTCAAATAGGAACGAATTCGTTCTAAAGATGAGACTGGTGAATGTATCCCCAATATTTCTATAAAAGCCAGAGACTTGGACTCTTCGCGGGCACGAGCGCCAAAAAATTGATGCCTTTGAGATGTGGAGCTGGAGAAGAATGCTGTGCATATCTTGAAGACCATTCTAGGCATTCTAAACCAACTCGAGATTAAAAAACACTGTCCACAATATGTCTGCAACGCATTCTGCAATTTTTAGGTCACGTGGTTCGCAGAGGTGACGATAGTTTGGAGTGATTAATTGTTTCTGGCAACGTTCCGGGGAGAATATCAAGAGGATTATCACCAATTAGATGGTCCGACCAAATTAAGAATTCAGCTGGAAAGTCATTGTGCGAACTTTAGGGATGCGTGATGGAAAAAATCTTGCTTATAGATGGAATACTAAAACGATACGTTGACAAAAATAAACGTTTTATTCTAACATAAATTCCTGTTTACAAAAATGCTTAATTCTACTTGTTGACGTTGACACTTGTGTCACTTGCAGGTAATGCCAACACTTAACATAAAAATGTACAATATAGAATTGTAATACCAACACGAACGTCTCAGAGCAGCTGAAGAGATGGAGAAAAATTGTTAGGAATATTGGAAAAAATCACAATACTCAGTAATGGGGAAACAACAAGAGAGAGAGAGAGAGAGAGAGAGAGAGAGAGAGAGAGAGAATTTTAATTAGATTCAAATCATGCGATTTGCTTAATCTGTTCGCAATCCAAATTGAACGTATGAATTGGGAGACATTGGAAGAAATTCTAAAGAGCGTCGCCACATACTAATACGGAAATGGGACAATCTTTTGCACAACGAGATCAAAAAACTGATCTAAAGCATGCTTTACAGTTTACAAGCTGTTATCACTGCCAGAGGATTTTTTTAATGAAAATCATATCCAAGTAAAATTCATCATTTTTTATTACTTTCGATAAAATAAAACAAAATTTTGCAAAATAAATTAACATTTCTAAATTGTCTGCTTGGCAGTGTATAATAAAGAAAATATTCTCTTTGTTTTTTAGGCCTCAAAGATTCCTCACTGTAGAATACATTTAGGGGATCGGCCGATAAACATTACCCTTCAAAGAGCCCTAGCAAGACTTACCTGGTTCCAAACTATAAAACTAGCATGGCATCTACTCACGTCGAAAGATCCTGTTAGGTGAGTTGATATTTAGGTTAATAAACCACCGCAAACCGTGTAAGACAAATTCTAGATACATGTCTATTGATTAATTTAGAAAATACAGTGACAAAACGAAAAAAAAAAAACTGAACTTTTTGATAATTTTTAACAACAATTAAGCATTGATTGTTGAATATCCACTCTATTCGACAAATTTGCTTAGTTGGGTCTTTTTGTAATTATAACTCTTTAGGAATTCACGATTGGAAAGATTTTCAGATAAATGAAGGATAGTATTATGTGGATATTTTGAAGATTTGCCGCTGAAATATTCGAGAGTCAATGAACAATATGTATTGATATAAAGGTGAAATATATTGAAAAATAAATGTCCTTTAAATAAAAGGAATTAATTTTTTGAATTCTAGATCGAAACTTTTCACATTGCCCTCGCATTTAACTAAATTGTTTTAGAAGTATGTATTCAAATTATGTCTCTTCTGGTTTTGTATTTCATTATTATTGGGATTATACTAATAATTCCGTAGTGTAAGATATATGTAATATAAATAAAAAAAAACTTAAATGTGTGGAAATGTAAGTTGTGCCCAGGAGTTTTATAAGTTAGTTTAAAGAAAAAATTTATGGCACCATTTTAACGAGGAACCTAAAGTGGACGACATTTGGCACAATTCGGCTATGGAGATCTTTTGATTTTCGAATAATTATGAACAAACCAAACATTTTTAAACAGTATTAAAAATAAGCGATAGAAATTTTTGTGTGAACTATTCATTATCACATGTTTAGTTTGTTCCATATGCAAGGTAACAGACGGCGCCACAGTCACTCACGAAGTTAATTAGTGTTGAATTATCAAATGGATTCTTTTTTTTTTATTGTTAGTAGTTCTGTTCGTGCCGAATATTTTCCATTATTTCCATATTTTTACCACATTCCATGATCTTTCTCATAATAAATAAATATTTAACCTAATAACCAATATTGTACTAATGTGTGTACTATTTTAGTGTAGAAGAAATTGAAAAATGTAAAGAAAAAGACATGCTAGAGCAATTATTAACAGATTTGTCAGGAGAATATCCAGCGTTTAGGGAAGTTTTTCTTGATGAGAGGGACATTTTTTTAACGAATTCTCTACAACAGGCAGCTGAATCAAGAATGAAGTCACCGGCAGATAGTAAGTTTTGTCTTTTTATACGTTAAAATTCATTAGATCTTCGTGATTTATTTGATATTCAATTTCAAAGCTGAAAATACCTTTAGGTTAAGTTAAAACTAAACTGAGGTTGTTGTAGTTTTATATTTTGAGAAACTATTCGATCGTCAATTCGGTTGTTTTGGAAATATGTTATGTATATTTTTGAATATTAAACAAACTCTTCGCTATAAAACTAAAACAACTAAACTATAAAACAAACACTGTCTTCGCGCAAACTCTGCCCGGGTCAAGTCACGAGGAAAAAGTTTGGAGTCCGTCAGATTTTGGGAGTGAAACTTCAATTTAGATCGCGCTGAAAAAATTGCAATATCTCCGGTTCTATAATAGCTCTTGTTAACGAACGTTTTTTCAACGAATAACGGATCGATGCTAAACGGGTACCCGTGTCGACGGTTCATAAATTTCAAGAGATATGCGTCCGTTGTCAGTATGGAATCTCCGAAATATCGTCAGTTCCAAAGTAACAAGTGCACGCAATACATGTTATATCATATTGTCGTGAAAGCAAAAAGTTATACTAGCGCATTATTGGTATAAAAAAATACAGAAGAAACGACAGAAGCGTAAAAGAAAAATATGGAGACATTCTTTTGTTAGAAAGAGAAAAGTATGGTGCTTTCCATACACTTTACGAGGAATTGAAAAAAGACGAAACAAATTTCTTCAATCACTTCCGAATGGGTCAAGAAACTTTCCTCAAATTATTAGTAGTACATGATATTAAAGTATGCTGACACTAATATGAGGCTATATTCTTCAATCGCTTCCGAATGGGTCATGAAACTTTCCGCAAATTGTTAGGAATAGTACATGATAAATTAAAAAATGCTGACGGTAATATGAGGCTGAGCGACTAGCTGTTTCCTTAAGGTATGTATAAGTTATGTTATTAGTATAACAGAATAAAAAACTTCTTAGTCTATATATAAAACAAAAATTATTGGCGAAATCGAAATCTACGTTGCTTTGCCTAACGGACGACTGGTCTGATATTGAAGATTGTTCTGCAAATGAATGAGATGATTTTGGTGCTGGTGTTTGTGGTTCACTTACTTGACTGAAATTTGCAGTTGAAGTTGAGCGTGTACACCGATATGGCTCAATTGTTGTGAGATGTTCTATACTGTTGAAAGAGATATGCTTCTATTTGATATCACATACTCCGTTTAAAGTTCTGGGGCCGCGGAATATGTTCCGCCATAAGCATATTTGTCTGTTGCATGTTTGTTAGGAATGAAATTACCTCTTCTTCTTCTTCTTCGTGCGACTAGGATTACTCATGTTTGCCTGCCTCTTATTTTGTTTCAGTCGATGTTGACTGTACATTATCTTTCCACCTTTTTGGCGGCCTTCCAACGGGTCTTCTACTATACGGCTTGTTTGTTTTTACAGATGTTCTACTGAGTGAGTCTCCTTGGCGGATCCCTCCTTTTAGTTCTATGCATTCTGTTTCTCCTGTTGGCATTATAACTCTGGTCTTGTTAATTTCATTAATTGTCCTTATTATCTGATGGTCTATTTGTTCAGCTTGTAATAAATTTAAGATGTCATTTCGCTTCACCCTGTCAAAAACACTTTTTAAATCTACAAAGCACATGTATGCTGGTTTTCCATATTCAATAGACTTCTCTATTATTTGTCTAATAAAAATTGCGCCTATTATGCTGCCGTTCTTCCGGAAGCCTTGTTGTTCATTTGTCATGTTCGCTTTTTCCTCGATTTTATCTTTTATGACTGCCGTTAACAATTTTAATGTACTATTCATCAGACTAATGCCTCTGAAATTACCTCGAATTGAAAATTTATCAATTCCGCATTTTTAAACTTCAACAGTAGGTGCAATTCCCCTGAAGAAACGCGTGACTGGATTGCTGTCTTCACTATTGGAAGAATCCAGCATCTCGTGTATCTTTGTTACCAAAATTTCATCTGTAGTTTCTGTCTTCCTCTTTTTTTGTATAGCAGAATCATCTGTGACAGGTGGTTTTTCAGAGGGTTCAGTAGGTGGCATATTCGTTCCAGTCGGTCGGTCTATGACTTAAAATTTTATGGAGGAATTGCATTTGCTCAAAAAATTTATATTTTGAGGCAGCCTTTGCTTCTGAACCTGACTTCTTCATCTCTTGCAGTTTCTTCGCATATCTTATCCAGTTATTTTTTGTGTTGCTCTACTTCTTTGCCTGAAAAAGAAAACATCGATGACCAAAAGTATATATATATATATATATATACACATTTGCAATTTTAAATCTGGAACATAGGATTTTTAATACAAATACTAAGATTCTCTGCGTTGCAATTGACCAGTGTAAATTTCTTTATAACGTCGCGATGTTTTGTAACTAATTTATTTGTTCCACTGGATTACTTCTCCTCAGCGGTTTGTAGTAGTACTGGTAGTAGTATATGGCACGCCGACAGTGTTGCTCCGTCTACCGATTTTTCCTGAAAGTCCGGTTTTGTGCAGATAATAAATAATGTTTTATTAACATCAATTTTGTTTGTGTTCATTATGCCGGGTCCAGACCAAGCAGACAAAACGAAAACACAATTCTGAAACAAAAACACGATAAATCGGCGACAAAATTTGTCGTCAAAAGATAAAACAAAATTGAGACAAACTGTCCACACCAGAACAACAAAATATAAAAACAAAATTCAGTTGGTGACGTTGTTGTTGTGATTAGTGTTGGTTAACCATGTGGCGTTTTAATAAAGAAAAAAATGAAACTGAAGATTTATTGCTAGCCGCAAGTTGTTTTTTTTTGCTCTCATCATCATCCCAGGTTGCTAAACGAAAACCCAAACGTTTTTGGATTAGACCAAGCCCAAAAATGCGAGAAAGTTGTTCGATAGACAAATTGTTAGTTCAGCTGCGCGCAGATGATATTGGACTAAGTGGTGAAATTCGATCAAGCTTCAAAATTTTTTTAAGAATGTCCACCGAAGATTTTGAGAATCTAATATGCCTTGTTGGTCCTGCAGTTGCAAAAAGACATAGGTACTAACTTTAGAAATGCTATAAGTGTAACAGAACGTTTAGCAATCACTTTAAGATTTTTAGCAACAGGTGATTCCTACCATAACCAAACCATTTTGAACTGAAAAGTTTCCCAGCCCCAGATTTTTTAAGTTTCTTGTAGTTTCGTCTTTCTCTAGCATACTGGTTGTTAACATTCTTTATTTTTTTTTAACACCATTTAGTGGCACATTTAGCGATAAAGAAATTTCCTTTAATGCATCGGCTTTCTTGTAGCGATTTTTATAATCTTTATTTTTAGGGTCCCATAATATCGAATGTTCCCTGTAAATTTCTATTAACTTGCATGTATTTTGTGTATTCCACTTTTTGTCCCCGACATGTTTAGAAAAATACACTAGTATTTATTTATTCACTACACAACAGAAAAATACACTTGATTTTGATAAAAATTGTACATTCTATTTTCCTACTGCTTAACTCGTTTTGGCACGCACACGCGTCCACACTGCGTCGACAACTGTCGTCAAAAACACAGACAAAACACAGACCCTTTGATCTTTACCGACCTGAGACGGGACCTGAAAAAGTTTTCAAATCTGCAAACAAAACAAAATTGTTTCAGAAATGTCTCATCAAATGTTTTCGATTTGTCGCCACTTTGTCGCGAAACATGAATGTTTTTGTTTTGTCTGCTTGGTCTGGACCCGGCATTAGGTATTATTTGAGTTATAAAATTTATACTTAAATACATTTATTATTCCAAATATTGTTTATAATTTCAAATTAAAAAGAGTGTAATATAATTATTTTATTTTTAATTTTAGAAATCAACTTTTTTTTTCAAGCCGTTTTGGCAATAAAACAACCATTTTTTTAGTTATAAAATATTTTCATATCTACATTTATAAATAAGTACGTTTTCGTTGAATTGACATGGGATCTAGGTGTGTTCCGTTTTTACACTTACACTGGCAGCATCGCGGCCTGAATTGAGACTCCAGTCGAACAAATGAATTAATTATGGAGCATCGCGACGTTGTATTGAAGTTTACACTGGTTAATTGCACATCAAAGGATTTGAGCTGTATTAAAAATCCTATGTTCCATAATTTTTTTTCCAAATCTGTATATATATATATATATATATATATATATATATATATATATATATATTACAGATACTTGGCATCAGAAAGTTCATTCACAGATCTTCAATACATATTTAGAATGGGAATTAAAACTATAAGCTACGTTGTTCGAGAAATATGTAAAACAATATGGTCGCAGTGTTGTGAGACGTATATGAAACTGTCAGAGGAGGACTGGTTAATGAAAGATAGGAATATTGAAAGTACATCGAATTTTATATATGCTTAGAAACGATAGACGGCAAGCACATACGATTTATAAAGCCAGAAGAAAGTGGATCAATTTATATGCATGTGGCAAAGAATGCGATTCGGTCGTATTTAAGGAAATGGTGTTTTGGAAAAGTTTGATGAACAAAAGATACCTCCATGTATCAACAAATTGGGAATTGATTGTGAACTGCCTATATGTTCGTTGCCGACGAGGCATTGTATTACATGAACATTTACTTCGCCCTTGTGGTCTTTATCAAGTTAATGTAAAAAGACCATTCAACTATCGCCTGACAAGAGCAAGAAGGTATGTTAAATGCGCATTTGGAATAATGGCGAATAAATTTCGAATTTTTCATCAACCACTGAAGGCATTGACTCAAACAGCACAGCTAAAAATAGACAATTCTATATCCAAGCCCATACATATAAGAAGAGGCGTTCGACAGGGATGTGTGCTTTCCCCTCTTTTATTTAACATTTATTCGGAAGCCATATTTCAAGAGTCTTTGGAGGATGCAGAGATGGGAATCAAGGTGAATGGAGTATTGATCAACAACATACGATATGCTGATGATGGTGTCTTAATTTGTGACAACATAGTCGATCTTCAACAACTTGTCACTATAATCGGAGAATACAGTAAGCGAATGGGATTAGAGATTAATACCAAAAAGACCAAATTCATGATCATCTCCAGAAATTTGGATGCACTTGAAAACTCCACCATAACACTGAATAGTAAATCCATAGAAAGAGTGAGTAAATTTAAATACCTGGGGATCATGGCTTTTTGAAGACTGGGCATCGGACAGGGAAGTAAAATGTCGCATTGAGCAAGCTCGACAAGCTTTCGTAAAATTCAAGAAGGTACTGACTTGTTCAGAGTTCGATCTTCAACTGAGGCTAAGGTTTACTAAGTGCTACGTATGGTCAGTGCTGCTATATGGCGTAGAGGGCTGGACACTCAAAACGAGGGATATAAACAGATTAGAAGCTTTCGAAATGTGGCTTTATCGCCGTATCCTAAAAATACCATGGACAGCGAAAATCACAAATATAGATGTCCTTAAAAGAATAAACCAAGAACGCCAACTTTTCGAAACCATCAAGAAAAGGAAAACGGCGTATCTAGATCACATCATGCGAAATGAAAAATACCAGTTCCTCCAACTTATAATCGAGGGTAAAATTGAAGACAAGAGAGGAATGGGACGCAAGAAAATGTCCTGGCTTCGAAACATAAGGCAATGGACAGGGATTAACGACATACAATCTCTGATACATATTGCAAGAAATAGAGAATTAATGGAAAATGTGATCGCTAACATCCATTAGTGGATTTGCATCTGAAGAAGAAGAAGAAGAAGAGGGCATTGACGGATTTAGTGGTCGATATAGTAAAGACTTGCTGTTTATTGCAAAGTCTCGTCCACAAAGAAGAAGGAATTATAAATAACATTGCATGTGATTTAAATACTACTGATGGCTAAGATAACGGCGAAAGGAAATTTAACACCCAATAATATTCGCAGATTATTTCACAGAAGGGAGATAGCAATGGCAGAATCAATGTATTTTAAATATGTTGAACATGTTATATTATCAATAAATATTTACTCACCAAAATAGTTTTTTTCGTTGTCCGATAATGACTCGAAGTCTTCGTGCAGATTCATACAGATTTCTCTCCATACTGCAAAATTGAGCTGCTTATTTTTATAGCTTTTCATGGTTTTACCCCACAAAACAGGTCAAGTTTCGACCGCACTTATTAAAATCTCCCATATCAAAATCCATATTTTATACGCAACAAAGAAAGAAATTTGCATAAACTGAAGTGGTTCATTGCGCCGGTCGAACATCTTGCCAAGGGGGACCGGATACGCAGACGGTGACAAGTTAACCAACGGATTGGTTGCAGGTGCGTGAACAAACATTCATAAGAACCTGAAATTCACTGGCTAACGGAAGGGTTTCAAAATCGGACTGTTGACCGTTGTCGTTAACAAGAGCTCTAAACCGTAGAAATTTAATTTTTTTAATCGGGGTTTCAAACTTAAGTATTTTAACTATACATGAAAAACGTAATTATAATTTATTCGTCTTCCGGGTTTGGACCGTGTGATTTGTGAGTGACCCAAAAGTGGGTTCATCTCGACGTTTCGCTACAATTGTATGTAGCTTCTTCAGGAAGCTTGTATGTAGCTTCTTCTCCTGAAGAAGCTACATACAATTGTAGCGAAACGTCGAGATGAACCCACTTTTGGGTCACTCACAAATCACACGGTCCAAACCCGGAAGACGAATAAACTATAATTCTGACTCTGGCCGTGGAAGCCTATCTCATATGAAAAAACGTATTTGATTTCAATTTAACAATTAATGTTTCAGGTTATTTCGAGCCGGAGCCTCTTCGTATCGTAGGAGTAGTCGGTATTGGACACGCAGCAGGAATAACCAAACTTTGGCCACATAGTCAAGAAGAATACGTGGCTCCCATAATCAAAATTCCACCACCATCTCTAACGTCCAAAGTCATTCGACAAACTTACAAAATTTCAGTTCTAGTTTTGGGAGGTTATCTTATATATAAGTATGTTCCAGTACCGAAATTTTTAAAAGAGAATGCTCATGTTTTTGCTCAAAAAGTTTTAACTAGTATAAGAGCTGAAAATACCTTTAGGTTAAGTTTAAACTGAGGTTGTTGTAGTTTTATATTTTGAGAAATTATTAGATCGTCAATTCGGTTGTTTTGGAAGGATGCTATGTATATTTTTGAATATTTCCTCTTTAACTAATTTAAAACTAGCAAAATTTGCTTTATAAAAAACGAGACATTACCAAATCATATTACGAAATTAAAATAAACAATTCATTTATGAAGGTTCCTGTTATTGCTTTTTGATCTGCGACAAATTTTTGATATTGTTCCCGATAAATGCTAATACAATAAACTACCGATGTATAAAGTCATTGATTATTTAGTTTTGTAAAAAGTGTAAATTTTTCATGAGGATAATTTACCGTTGTTTTGGTCTATATAGAGCTTATTTTCTAAATAAAATATGTTTATATTTATTGTTTTCATTTCTCTCAATACCACACAGTCCATACCTGTCCATAAGCATGGTATTTTAATTTTTTATTTAGCGACGTTATGCACTTTTTGGATGGGGAAAAGCATTGAATACGCGACAGATTTCTGCGACCGTCACTGCTATGCAAATTGATCTCACAGCTCGAGAACGGCTCTTGACATATGAGGTCCCGTTGGAAAGGGGAGAGGGTAAAACAAACATTGCGACATTGCCAAAAGGGCATTACAATCATATCTCCGTTGTTATTGAACCCTGTGTTGCGTTAAATGAAAAGGGAGGGGATAACGATTATATTACAAATACATATACAAATATTTAATTTTTTTTTAATGGCATTTACATTAGTCATTCAGCCAGTTGCAATAGATTCTCCAATCAGACAAATGCACAACTCTGTCCCTAATCGAAAACTAACGGATAATTAATAGAAGAATATACGACAAGGAAACTTACAGGGTAACTTGCTTCTCGTCTAGGGGCCCATCAAGACATTCTTAGTAGACAAATAAAACTGGACCACGGATAAGGTGTTATAACATTTAGGGTAAACAAAGGATACAAATCTAAATTTCCACACGATCATGAAAAATTTCATGCTCGAGTACAAATTCTATAGAACCATGCATGTGTCTGACAAGAAATCTATAATGATATTATATATATTTTGTGAGCCTGTCGCCAGTAGCGACTGAATATTGAATGGTGCATACATATTAAATTCGATTAATTTTTTGTAGAGAGAGTTTGAATGCTGTTGAAACTTAGGGCATTCAAAAAAGATGTGATCAAGATCACCCAGTTTTCCGTAATGTTTGCAATTATCATCTTCAATCACATTTATTTTATATAAATGACTTGGATAACACGCATGTCCAAAGCGTAGTCTATTTATGGTGGCTATATATTTACGTGGAGATTTAAAATTCTTAAACCAAGTAGTTTGTGGAATAACTGTTTGTAAAGTGGTGTATCTTGTTTGGGTTGTAAGGCAGTAAAGATTCCATTGATCTTTCCATGTCGCTAGCTGGTTTTTTTTAAATATCCTAATGGCATCTGATACACATAAAGAATATGGCAATAAAGTGCCTGATATACTGGTTTTAGCTAAGTAATCTACATATTCATTATCTTTGAGTCCAATATGTGCCTTAACCCAAATAAATTTTATATTAAAGCCAGAGTCTACTAAGTGCTTTAATTGATCTTTTATTAGAAAAATGTAAGGATTACTAAATGTTTTGGGCAAACAAGTGTTTTTTATGTTCTGTAGAACTGAAAGGCAGTCTGAAAGAATTAACGATTTTTTAATATAAGAGTTTTTAACATATTTCAAAGCTTCGAGTATAGCCAATGATTCTTCTTCTTCCAATGGCGCTACAGCCCAAATTGAGCCTTGGCCTCCTGTAACTTCTGCCTCCAACAAAGGCGATCCCGCGCCACTCGTCTCCAAGCCCTGACGTTCAATAAGTTGTGCGCATCTGCTGTGACTTCGTTCTCCCATCTATTACGTGGTCTTCTGCCCTGCATTTTACCATCCAAGGCCTTTCTCGGCAATCAATAGCCAATGATTCCGCCGAGAAAATTGAAAACTCCTTGGAAAGTTTGTACTTAAATTCAGAACCTCCTGAGGGTAGAAAATAGGCACAGCCAGTCCCTTCTATTGATTTGGATGCGTCCGTGTATATAACTGTGGCATCACTATAACAGTTCAAAACAGATCTCAGAATACTGTTGCTCAATTTGTTGTTGTGACTATATGTGGGTATTATAACTTCAGCTTTATGAAAGAGAGCAAAGAAGTCTAAATTTTTTGAAAAAATTGAATTGTTCTGTAAAGCAGTGCACAAAGGTGGAGACGGCTTCTTAATCCAATATTTATGAGTGAGATCTGATTCGTTAAGTTGACGTATACTGGAAAATAATTTGGGATATGTTGAGTGGGCTTTGAGTACCCATTTTTCGCTTAATAAATTTCTTCTAATCGAAAGAGGAGGTTCATAAGCTTCAACATGTAGTGGTTGTATAGGGGTAGATCTCATAGCACCTAAACAGACCCTTAAGACAGAATTTTGAAAAATGTCAATTTTTCTTAGAAGATTTCTAGAACCGTAAAGAGTAGCACCATAATCTATAATGGATCGTATATAAGCTCTGTAAAACAATAAGGATGTTTCAACATCGCAACCCCACCACACTTTGGTTGTCATTCTAAGAAAATTACTACCTTTGTTGCATCTATCCAGCATATATTGTATGTGTTGTTTCCAAGTCAATTTTTTATCCAGTATAAGGCCAAGATATTTGATATGGTTTTTGAATGTAAAAGATTGATTATCAAGAAGTATATTTTGATTTTGAGGAAGGTTGTGTCTTGTGAAGACAGATACTGCTGATTTGTCAATTGATAAATTTAAGCCGTTCTCTAAGTACCATGGGAAAAGAGAACTACATACTCTACCTAGGTTTTGCATACCGTTTTCATATTTCTTACTTTCTGTATAGATACAAAAGTCATCTGCATATTGTATTATTTTAAATGGGATGTTGTTAATTTGCATATTATGTATGTCAGACGTGTACATATTAAATAAAATTGGTGATAATACCGAGCCTTGTGGTATACCGTGATAGTTGTATCTAGGTCCTATTAGCTTGTTATTATGGTCTCTGACGTAGATTACCCTGTCTGTATAGAAACCGATAATTGTGTTAACGAAAGCAATTGGCAAATGAAAGAAATTTACCATTTTGAATTTCAATATTGACAAACAAACTGATTCATATGCTCCTTCAATATCCAAGAATAGGGCTGCTAAATAGTTATTCCTAGTTAAGTTGTTAATATTTAAAAATAAAAATGATCCAAATCAATCTAGTCGTTCTCGAGTTGTTATAAAAAAATATGAGTGTATATTTATGTATATTACGGTATACCGCAAGGTTACTAACACCCGTCTCGATTTTTCGAGTCCGTGCAAAATATAGCGACCGATAAGAAGTATTCACTTAAATAATATTGACATCAAGACTTCTGCTTACAATAGTAGTAAATTTCCCTATTAAAATGGTAACAAGAAATTGTAAATAAGGATACAAAATTAACCATAAATTTACTAATAAGTTTATAAAAGTACATTGGCATGGGCAATTTTACTGGCACTCCTGTAATTCGTATGGAATTTTAGTGCAGTTTATTTTACAAACAGAAAAAGTCTATTTTGCAGTTGCCATTAGGCAAATTTACTGACTTTCGGCAAAGTAATGGGGAAAATAACAATGAGTAAATGTATACAATTTCATTAGGTTAAATTTACTGATCTTAACAGTACCCGATCTGACATTTAAGTAGTACATTTTCAGTTTTCTTATTTTTACCCCATTTAATGAGGGTTACAATTTCTTAGCATATTTAAATCGGCAGATTTACTAAAAATGTTTTACAGTGTGGCGGTGGATTCTATTCACAGAACCATATTGGGCTAGAATAAGAAAAATAAATAAGGTGGATGACACTGCTTAAAGATCAGCGGATGAGACAAAGAGAGGGAGTCAAAAAAATAGATAATTTTCATCGAACAAAAAGACAAAAGAGGGAATCTAATCGTTATGAAAAGGAGACCAAAATTCATAAAAGTGGCGGATATTTCCGGAAATGCAAAAGTGCCAAATTTAAGACTATGTTCCAATATTATTATAAACACTATGTTCGAAACACTTTTTTTAACACTAGAGCATAATAAAGTTTAAATTAAATAACAATAATAGTCTAAAATGTGATATAATTGTTAAAAAACTTCAATATAAATAAGCTTTCATGTGACAGTTGGGACAAATAATAACATAACCCAACTAAATTTGATATCTTAAACAAGGAAAGAGACTCTCTTTCCTTGTTTAATGTGGCCTCTCGAAATATCACTTCCCGTCTATCAACATTTTTGCCCCACTACCTTTACATTCCCTCTTCTGTCTTTTTGCTCGATGGATAATTTTAGAGCAGGTATTTTCTAAATTCGTTATGCTTTGTATGTACGTGACGTCAGATAGTATAAAAAAAGTCAAACACTTTAAACATAATTATATTACTATTTATACAATAAGATATTTAAAAAATATATAAACAACTGGAAGACTCTTCGGCAGGATTTTTGTAAGTACTTAATAATATACTGCCAACAGTTTTGATTTTGTTTGTTTTGAAGTTCGTATCTACTTTAAGAATTAACATGTTTTTTTAGTTTGGTATTATTAAAAACATTTTTAATGATTTCTAAAAAGTACAAAGTAACCTACTTCAGGACACTTTAGACACAGAATAATAAACAATCAGAATGTCCACTCTGCTTGAAAAAATAAGTACGCACAGACGGAATCAGCCATGTTTTAAACGGAACCAGTGCTGTTCAGTGATATTTTATCTGGTGTGCATAGAAAAATTAACCCGTTTTAGTTGAAGAATATATTAAATTATTTCAAATATACTAAATTATTAATCTCTACAAATTTAAGTTAAAGTTCTGTCATAGCTTGTCACAAATTTCTCAATTCAAGTCAATGTTTCCGTCTAAAACATGGCGCTCGCGTGCTGACAAACTTCAAAGGCGGCATCTGAAGGTGGGCATTCTGATTGTTTATTATTCTGTGCCTTAGAGCTTTAAAGACAGTTTTACATTATGCTATTTTCATGCTAGGCAAGAGCCATGCAAGACAGATCATGGAACTGCGCATGCCACGGGCTATTTCCATGCAATTCCTGTGCTAGACGAAAAATTAGAACATGTTCTATTTTTCATGCTATTTTCTTGCAATTTATCGTTAAAATTCATGTTGCCAACATAACAATTTATAATAGATTACAGAATAAAACATAACCTTATCTCTATCCACGAGCTTAAGGAAAGTGGACTCGTTCATTCGAAAAACGTTTTTAAAACTTTGAAGGTCTCTAGCATCCCAGAACTCTTGGCGTAACTTCAAATTTCCCAGTCCTGCATTCAACCAAGGTTTGACCCAGCATTTTCTAGGTTTTCTTTTTTTATTATTTTTCATGATTGTTGCTACAACAGCAATATTCAACAATAATAATGTTTTCTTTTCTTTGGTTGACATCCTTCACCCTTTTAATAACCATAAATAGTGTATATTTATTTAAAATAAAATAACCTCAAATTGATAAATATTTTCTCTATTGGCAACAATGAAAGTGGGATCTAAAATTGCACAGAAAGAGCCATGCAAATATCTCTGATGTAAAAAGGTCAAGCTAGGCAAGAGATGTGCCATGCAAGACGGACTTGCATAGCATGAGACTTGCATAGCCTAGATGTAAAGCTGCCTTAAGGCGGCTAGAGAGATATTTAAGATAGGAGAGATATTTCTGTGCAATTTTAGATCCCACTTTCATTGTTGCCAACAGAGAAAATATTTATCAATTTGAGGTTATTTTATTTTAAATAAATATAATTAAGTACTAAAATAAATAATATAATAAATAAATATACACTATTTATGTTTATTAAAAGGGTGAAGGATGTCAACCAAACAAAAGAAAACATTGATATTGTTGAATATTGCTGTTGTAGCAACAATCATCCATAGTCAACGACTCACCCAGTCGTTTTTACATTAACTTTAGACATAGTATATCTATTTATCACCACTTAATAAACTTAATTTAAATCAAAACACAACAATACACACGTGGGCTAAGGGACGCTAAAGATAGAGATAAGGTTATGTTTTATTCTGTAATCTATTATAAACACATTATAAATTGTTACGTTGGCAACATGAATTTTAACGATAAATTGCAAGAAAATAGCATGAAAAATAGAACATGTTCTAATTTTTCGTCTAGCACAGGAATTGCATGGAAATAGCACGTGGGCATGCGCAGTTCCATGATCTGTCTTGCATGGCTCTTGCCTAGCATGATAATAGCATAATGTAAAACTGTCTTAAAAAGATCAAGCTAGGCAAGAGATGTGCCATGCAAGTCGGACTTGCATAGCATGAGACTTGCATAGCCTAGATGTAAAGCTGCCTTTAATGACACACCAAGCCATCTCATTCAAGAATGTCGAAAAAGCGCCAAAAGCTTCACAGAAGCGTCAACTTCATGCCATCTAAATGATGCTTCCTAAATGTTTTTTGTCGCTTTCAATAATTTTAACGTATTATCGATGCTGTTGTGACACTTTTGACGCAGTAACCTTCAATGGACTGGCTGCGTTTGGCATTCAGGGCTCAAATTATTCTGAAGTGGTTTATTATCTATTTATAAACAACTAGTAGCTACAACGCTATTTACAAATAAGTGAAATGTTACTCTTCAGTCACATCACTTGTAAATGTATATCGTATATAAGGTTTGATATTGTTTTATTGTCATACGGATTATTAGGAATTTAACTGCACTGATGCATTCGGGATTTGTAAATAAACTTCGCTAAGAATATTGAACATACTGTACAATAAAATGAGGATTCTCGAATATAAAAAGTATAATAGTAAAATAAAACCAAAACCTATTCAAGAAATCCTGACCGGTGATCGGGAAGATGTAATAATAGGTAGAGAAATAATCAGCAACATATGATATGTTCAATACGCCTGTTCCGCCTGTGCATATAGCTATGTATACATAGTGGAAAATCTGTCAAAACCGAATATAAGAACATCAAAGTTGTATAACCTGGTCTATTCTTAACTTCTGGAGTTGCATAATGCAGGCAAGATATCGGATATTCCATATTGTTTGTAAAATCCATATTTTTAAAAATGACTAGCAGACCCAACTGCAGCATCACTACGTTCATAACGTAGTTAATCAAACTCACATTTTTACATACATTTAAAATTAGGTGGCTGCAAATATTTTTAATTTAATTAATAGTTATTAATTTCTAAACAAAAAATTCCTTTCGTTCATTTATTTTTTAAATAAAATACATTTCTCATGACGTATATGCATGTTTTTTTATATCAAATGAAAGTTAATTTTGTCTTAATATGATGATATGAGGTCGCCTGAGAAAAAATGGTCGCAAATTAGGATTGTTAGCTGTTAACAAACGAGAGGTATCAAAGATAAAGTAAAAGACAGCTAACGAGTGGGACCTCTTTCTTGTTCGTGTAGACAAAACACCTTATCTGATGAGATGGCTTCGTTAACTCACGCTCGTAAGCCTGTTGAGTCGATACAGCAGTCAGAAACGAGCGAAGTCTGTCATTAAATTCAATGAAGTGTCCGCAAAATAACTTTTTCAACCAGGTATGGTTGCTTAACGAGATCTATGAACTTCCGTACGAGTGTGCAAATCGTCTTGGGCTCACTCCACTGGGGTATACATATATACAAGCTATACGCTCCAGAAGAAGTTGAAGCTGTTTTCACTTTAAGATACTTTTTGTGTGGGGGATCATCCCATATCTGGGTTTGGTTTTATAGTTTCTGGTATGATTTCGCTGTTTCAACTACTTTTTTCAATTCTCTCTTTGATTGTTCTTTCTATATTTCTAATTTATATACTCCTTAAGTCTTCTTCCACTTATTGTCTCCATCTCAGTTTAGGTCTACCTCTGGTTCTTTTGCCTGGTGGTATCCATTCCGTTATAACTCTTACCGGATTACTCTTCTCTCTTCTCATTATGTGTCTATACCATCTAATTCTTTGTGCTTTTATTGTTCTAACTATGTTCTCTTGACCCATCCATTCTTATATTTCGTGATTCATCCATTGTCTTGCATCGTCTTCGTTTTCCCTCTTTGGTCCCAATATTTTTCTGATAATCTTCATCTGCAGCATATACTACTATTGATCTTATGGATGTTTTGTAGATGTTTATTTTTATTAACTTTGATCTAATGAAAGGCAGATATCGAGAACAGTTTATTAATTAAATCTTGCCCAAGTACTTTCGCTTCCTAGAGCATCTTCAGGGACATTTCGTCAAATTTGGCCTATCCAACAATATGTTGAGAATGTCATAAACATAAAATGGGTATTTCTCCGTTAAACTATTTTCTCTAGTGATGCCAATCAACATGTAGCTTCGCCGCTTTTAAATAAGATTGTTGAATATGTCAAATTTGACGAAATGCCCCCTGAAGATGCTCTAGGAAGCGAAAGTATTTGATTTAATTATGATTATTATTAATTTAACCTTATGGAGGACATAAACGTTAGGGTTTACATGATGATTTTAGCCTTACATGCATAACCGAGTTCTATATTACACACACACGTTAGGGTTTGAATGCACAGTTTTACCATTAACTCTTCTGTTAAGCTACGTGACGGTGTGTGCAGGATGCCTAAAGTACTTTGTGCGCTATATACCTTCTTCTTTAAGTGCCGTCTCCCAATCGGAGGTTGGATATCATTATCACTATCTTTACTCTATCTACTGCTGCTCTAAAGATTTCTATAGAACTGCATTTAAACCAGTCCCTTACATTTAAACAATGACACTCTCATTCTTCCTCTTATCTTTCCCTGTATTATCAGCCTTAGCAGCTCATATCGCTGTCCCCTCATTACGTATCCCAGATATTGTAACTTTCTTATTTTTATTGTGTTTATTATTTCGCATTCTTCCGTGTTAGTTTTCTTCTGTGTCCATGCTATTCTAAGTATCCTCCCGTAACACCACATTTCAAAGGACTGTAACTTATTTATGTGTTCTTGCTTCAATGTCCAGCTTTCAAGTCCATATTGCAGTATCGAAAACATGTAGCATCTCAGTGCTCTTACTCTCAGTTCTAATCTAAGATCTTTGTTGCAGAGAATTGTTTTCATTTTTACGCATTTCTTGCTATTTGTATCCTAGCTCTTATTTCGGTTGTTTGATCATTATTGTCTGAAATCCAGGTTCCTAGGTATTTGTATTAATCAACCCTTTTTATCGGTACATTTCCCAAATGTATGTTTGTTGTACATGTATTATAATGTTTTTGGTCTTTTTTATATTCATTTTTAGTCCATATTTTTCACATAAACTGTTTGTTTCGTTTAGAAGTAATTAGAGTTGTTTAACAGAGCTTGCCATAATTACGGTGTCATCTACATATCTTATGTTGTTTATAGATCTTAATTATTCCGTTAATTATTATTCCTTCACTTTGAGATAGTAATGCTTCTTCAAAAATGGTTTTACTGTATACATTAAATAGTAATGGGGACATAATACATCCCTGCCTATCTCCTCTCCTGATTTCAATTTCTGGACTGGGTTCGTTATCTATTTCGTTATCTATCGTTCGTTTGCTCAAGACAGAAAACAGTGGAGGCATGTTGTCGAGTCGGCTAAAACCCACGAGGGGTTGTAACGCCACGGAGTAAGTAAGTAAGTTCGTTATCTATTACGATTTGTGCTCTTTGATTCCAGTAGAGGTTTGTTATTATCCGAAGTCCCTGTGGTCAATGTTTTTTGTCTTTAGAACTTGGACTAATTTTTCATGTCTTACTTTGTCAAATGCTTTTTCAACATCAACGTAACAAACATGCACATCAACATTCATATCCATGCATCTTTGAGCTAACACATTAAAAGCAAATAACGCTTCTCTGATTCCTAGTCCGGTTCTGAACCCAAACTGACTATCATTCCTTCTTCCAGTTTTTTATTTATACGACCATGTATTATTTTCAGGAATAATTTGAGACTATGGACGACAACGATGTCCTCAAGAGATCCTAAACGGGGAAACTTTGAAATAATACATATGTTCAATCCCTTTTTAATTAAAGATAAACCAATATCTCATCCCAAACAAAACATAGTTGTTGTGGATTCGGCAGTCACAGCTAGCCTCAATGTATTTCACAAAAAACATCTATAGATAATTAAAATAAAAACAAAATGTGAAAAGGCCGCGTGAAAAGAAATGCGTTTTATCTCCCTCGTAGGACATCAGATTACGCTCAAGATAAAACAACACCTACAACATAGACACATCCACACTAGAAAAAAGACAAGAACTAGTCAGTCAATTAATTCAGTATGGTCAGCATATAATCAATTTAATACCAATTTTTTTTTAAACTTTCAATATTAAGTAGATACGAACTGTAATTGATCTATATTTTGTCAGCCGCACACCGAAATCCTAAATTCGAGGCAGAACTATCTTTTGTATTAGATGAACGGGCGGCGCATCTGTACCGCCAACAATATGACTCGTGGCACAAATACGATCCTCCTTTCTTGACCTTTGTATCCTGAAAAATTGTGAAAAATGTTTTTGTGTTAACTCATGAAAGATAAATCAATTTGTGTGATTTGTTATAAAAGTGAGGGCAAAATAGTTTTATTGATAAAATATTTCAGAAAAGTTGTAAGGTTTAGTGATTTTTTTTATTTATTTACTAGTATTTATAAAGCCAGTTTGAAAAGGTTACCAAGATGGCGCCGACTGGTGAGCAGCGTTTAAATGTGCTCTCTCTAGTTAGTGACGAAAATTTCCTGGAGAAGCAATTTAAGTGCTGTCAAAGTAAAGCTACTAAAATCTTAGTTTGTGTACAGTGTGGAAATGTTTTTCATTTGTCATGTGCAACCAGAAGTAAGCTTCAATGCATCAAAATTTGTGACACACGAATAATTTGCTGTGAAACAAACGAGAAATCAAATGATGTTGAGGAGAATTTCCAAGGTAAACGCGATCTATACAAAGAAAATGAGCTACTTAAAAATATTATAAAAGAAAAAGAGGAAAAATTTAATTTACTACTAGAAAATAATTCTCTTTTAAAACAAAACAATCGTTATTTACAAGAAAAGATAAGCCAAATGGAAGCAAAAACTGAACCTGTTAAACAACCAGTTTTAAATGAGTCAAACAAAAAACACCTTAGTCATATCAAACAATTACCTCCAAATTATAAAACTACAAATAAATTCCAATCACCGGTGTTGCCAACTGTTGCCGAAAGTAGTAGAAGTCCTGATAATAATTCAACAACTGCAGAACTTAGTAATGTGCAGCTAAATAAAATGCAAACTTTAGTAAATATAAATGAAGATATGGGACAAGACAATGATGGTTTTACGTTAGTCCACTCAAAGAAGACAACTAGACGAACAAAAAAGAACTACGGTGAAAATGATAAAACTACCGACTTAGGAGTTCAAAGAAAGGCTTGGCTTTACCTTTCTAGAGTTAAACGAAGTGTCACAACAGAAACTATCTTCGATTATCTAAAAGATCAGGAAGTGTTTAAAGACGCTGATATTATCATTAGAGAACTACCAACTAACGAAAACCAAAACAAATGTTTTATGTGTGGTGTCAACTTCGAATTAAAAGACGAAATATATAAACCGTCGACTTGGCCAAGATCTGTCGCTTACAAGCGTTTCGATTTCCGGAAATACCAACAATATAATCGTCGCTCCGAGGATTTTTAAATAATTTCTTCGTTAGGGACTCTCAAACCCAAAGTAAATGTCAAACTTCCATAGTTCATAAAAATATCCGAAGTCGAAATATTAATGCAAGTAAACCGACAAACTTATATTTCCCTATTTTACACTGCAATATACAGGGAGGACTTGCACGTAAATCTTACGATATAAATTTGATACTTCAAAGTAATAATGTGAATGTTTTATGCCTTAGTGAACACTGGTTGAAAGAAGATAAACTTGAAGTAACCAATATTGAAAACTTTAAATTAGTGTCTTATTTCGCAAGAAATGATAAAGAAAGTGGAGGTGTATGCATATTTGTAAATAATAAGTTTAGTTGTGAACAGCTAAATTTACGTCAATGGTGTATTGAAAGCAAAGTTGAAATATGTGGAGTAAAATTTAAAGTTCATGGAAGTAAAAAATATTTATATATTGTAACTATATACAGACCTCCTTATAGTGTGAATTTTAATACTTTTATTACGAAGTTAGAACTATTGTTGCAGAGTATTTATAACAATAATGATTTTTACGTTATATGTGGAGATTTTAATATCAATTTTTTAGATAATAGCAATCAGAAAAAATATTTTAATATACTTATTTTTAGAATACAACATTAAATTTCACATAAATGTACCTACTAGAATTACTAAAAATTCTTCAACGTGTATTGACAACTTTTTTTCCAATTTAGATGTTCAAAAGGTAAGTGTATGTGACACATTTCTATCAGATCATACTTATCAATTATGTGCTTTTGATATGAAAGTTGCTGGAAAAATTCCTCAAACTGTTTTTACCAGAAACTTTTGCGATGCCAACTTAATAACGTTTCAAAATATTTTAGCTAATATTGATTGGAGTGATCTATATGTGGCTAGTAGTTTTGAAGAAAAATTTTCAATATTTTATGATACTTTCTTATATTATTATAATATTACTTTCTTAAAGCGTAGAGTAACTACCAGACCAAAACAAAAAACGTGGTTTGCACCTCATATTAAGGGTTTGCATGATCAATTGTGTCAGATGAATGTATTAAGAAAACAACTCAATAACCCAGAGTATTCGGAACGATACAAGAAATTTAAACAAGAATATCAAACAATTGTTAAAAAACATAAAAATGAACAATATGATAATCAATTTAGAAATAGCAATAATGTAATGAAAGAAAGTTGGAAAATAATTAATAAAAATAGAGGTAAAAACTGTCAATCAAATCAAAATTTAATATCTTTTAGTAACAACGGTGACTTACAAAATTATCATAAAGCTGATCAAATCAACAATTATTTTATTAATGCTGTAAAAAATAATGAACTATCAGTTGTAAACCGTACTACACAAATTGACCAATTCAATTCAAGTTTCTTTTTATCACCAACCACTGAAAAAGAAGTTATATCTATTGTATTAAAAACTGCTTCTAAAACAGCTGCAGGGGTAGACGAAATTGATGGAAAAGCTTTGAAACATGTTGCCACTTATATAGCTTTACCACTATCTTATCTCATAAATGAATCATTCCTTATCTCATAAAGGAATCCCTATTTTTAAAAATAAAGGATCTGCAACGGATATTGCAAACTATAGGCTGATTTGTGTGTCAAGTCAGTTCTCTAAAATATTTGAAGCAGCCTATGCAAATAGATTAACAGATTATTTAGAACATTTTAAAATTCTTCCTGCTATTCAAAACGGGTTTAGAAAAAAGAAATCTACAAATACTGCTATTTCTGACTGTCTTCAATTTATTTATAAAGCATTAAATGATAAATTAAATGTGTTGGGTCTTTTTTATGACCTTAGTCGTGCATTTGATACAGTTGATCGTGAACTCTTACTACAAAAATTGCAGGGTATTGGAATACGTGGTATACCGTACAATTGGGCCCTATCTTATCTAAGCAATAGAACTCAAGTAGTCACAGTGGAAAATGTAACGTCCAGGCCACTTCAATGTACGATGGGTGTACCTCAAGGCTCAATACTTGGGCCTTTATTTTTCATTATATTTGTAAGTGACCTAAACACGTTTTGTTCAATGCCAGATAAAATTGTTCAGTATGCTGATGATACAAATATTCTCATGTCTCACAGTGAACCCATACAACTGGTGGAAAATACCAATGTTGTGTCTGCTGAATTTAGCACATATTGTAAAAATAATGGACTCAAGCTCAATGTAACAAAAACACATTTTATGCGTTTCTTACCAAAAAACTTAACTCCAAATTCTGACTTTTATTTACATGTGGATGGCAAATCAATAAAAAGTTATACTACAACGAAATTTTTGGGGGTAACCCTAGATCATAAACTTACATGGGAAACTCATGTAAATCATGTATCAGCAAAGTTAAGTACATCTAGCTACATAATCCGTAATTTAAGAGAAACTGTCTCATTTGATATATTGCGAATGATTTACTTTAGTTTAGTCCAGTCTGTACTTCAGTATGGCTTAATATTTTGGGGTTGCTCATCTCATTTTGAACGGGCATTTATAGCTCAAAAGAAAGTTTTAAGAAGTATATATGGTGTTCCATTTTCAGATAGTTGCAAGCCACTATTTAAGAGGTCTAATATTTTAACACTACCTAGCCTTTTAATTTTCCAATTAATATTGCACATTGAGGAAAACAAGCTCAAGTTTGTCAGAAATGAGGACATTCACTCACATGATACCAGGGGTAAATCAAATTTTCGACAACCTTTCTCTAGATTAGGTGTATCCCAACATGCACCTGAATATATTGGAATAAAATGTTACAATAAAATAGTCAATATATTAACTCTCAGTAATTCTTCACATAAAGGTTTTCGCCAAACTGTGTATTCATTTTTAATGGACAACACATTCTACAGTGTTGATGGATTTTTAAATTTTTAACATTTTTGCAACAATAGTTCTAAATTTGTATTTGTAACTTGTATTTGTAACTTTTATTTCTTATTTATTTTATTGTAATAACTGTTTTTGTTTTAATCATGTACTTTTGCTATATATTGTACTCTTTTGTACTAAAATTTTGACTAGTCTGATAAAATTTATACATTTTTTTCTTGTAAAAATTGTGTAAACTTTGTGGATGAATAAATTCTATCTATCTATCTATCTATCTAAAACATTTCACTCCGACGCTACTTATAAGGCAGGGGCGTGCGGTGTATGGAAGCAAGGGAAGCATTGCTTCCCTAGGTTTCCATAGTAATAGCGTACTAGCTGGGTAACTGAGAATATTTAACAAAAAATAATTTAAACCAACACACATATAAGCAGCTTTTTAAGCTGCATACGAAAATTATGTGGAACGAGAAGCGAGCTCGTTCAGACCCTGCGCATATCTTTAGCTTTCCTGTTCGTAATTCTACGTTGAAAGTCGGAGAGTTATTTCGGAATAATCCACGTTCAGAGTTGCTTCTCCTGCCTTATGTAAAAATAACCCGGGTTATACACTGAGAAGCGAAGGTTAAGTTGACCATATTTGTCGCTTTATAAGCAACTGTGACAATTGATTACGAAGTTTTAGCGAATTTAACACTTTGACTCCTATGTGTATCATACATAATACACAATAGGTACTCTCTCTGAGCCTGTGTGTATGAATTTGATACACAAGAGTAGAACGCATTCAAGCGACTGTGTATGTGGTCCGAACGCAGTTGTAGTGTATTTATATGTGTATTATCATTCCTTTAGGCTGTGGTAACCAATTTTCAATGTTAGTTCGGTAATCCTAGCATATTAAAATTGGCAACATTGTAGATAAAATTTGGAGACACGAAATTGTCGAGTTGCAAT